CTGCTCCGCTGCGGACGCACGTGCGAGCCCGGGGACAGGCCGCCGTCTGCCTGTGGCTGTCACTGCGGCCATGGCATCGTGAATATGGCCATTCAAAGTCTGGGAGGGCCAGAGTGGGGATGTGTGGAGGGGTCCCTGGGAAAGCAGCCCAAGTGGCTCAGACATGTGGATCTGGAGCTCTTGTACTCACTCGCTGCCCCTAAGTGTAGCCTGAGCTGCAGGGGCAGCGTGGGCTGGGGGCAGGGCACAGGACACACTTCCCCAGTACATGGGGAATACTGGCCAAACATGGGTGTGCAGTTTCCCGAAAAGCCCCCACCAGAGGGAGAGAGACAGCGGAACCTGGTGGGGGCAGGATTGCTGGCAGGAAGGCCCCAGGGAACTTCCTGCGAGGCTCGGGGTGGTCCGAGCCAGACGAAGTACTTTCACTAAGCATTACAACCCAGGTACACGGTGGCCGTCTCGAGACGTGGCAGACCAGTGTTCAGCTGTGTCCGGCAGCATCCCTCCCTCGCACTCACCTAGTGGTGGACCTGGCCCTCACACCTGGCCTGTCTCAGAACCACCCCAGACCCAGCCTCCCCTGGAAGAGAGCCAGTGCAGCCCCCTTGTAGAACACAGTCACCGAGTGCCTTCCTGAGCCATGTGCCCGGGGGGAGGGGAACAGCTACCAGAGAGACATGGCCAGACACTGGCCAAACTAGTAGATCATGTCGGGTGGAGCTCGGGAGAGGGGGAGTGAGGCGGGTATCTGAGAGATCAGGAACCAGTCTCACAAAGAGCTGAGTGGCACCCACTGGGCAACAAGTTTGTCTCTGGAGACCACAGGCAGGTCTGACCAAGCAGTAGCCTCTCCCACAGCAGAGTCTCAATCCTGGGTCTCACCTGGTAGGCACACCCAACCAGCCATCTCACCATGCCTTGGCAGCAGGCTCTGTGGGGCAGGAGCACCCGGGCACCTGGACTGGGACAGAGCCTTGGAGAATGTTCCAACTTGGGCTGAGCCTGGGGGAGGACTGGCCTGGGTTTCACAATGGCACTCATTATGGGGCCTGCTGCCAGTGACTCAGGCGCCGACCCAGCTGGGTGGGGCCCAGGAGGCCATAGATTCCACAGCACCTTGCTCATGGCCCTTTAGGGGAGTGGACATTGGTTGCCCACCCTCTCTGCCAGTCCAGCCAGCAGAAGACCGCCCCCTGCACCATGAGCCCTGGGGCACCTGGCGGCCATTAGATTTGGAGAGGAGAGAGGGCTGCAGTCCTTGGCCTTGGCTTCCTCTCACACAGCATGGGGACACAGTTGGATTATAGCAAGCACCAAGCCAGGGAGTGGGGGTGGCGAGCTCTGGTAATTTGGGATGCAGACATGTTTTTTCCACAACAGCATCTGCTGTTCGCTGGGCCTGAAAACCTGCGTGCAGTCTCCCTAAGCCAGGGCTGCAGTGCTGGCCAGGCCCTCCCCTACAGACTGGCCCCTCCCTGTCCTCCCACTTCCTCTATCAGGCCAGGGTCCAGCCGCTGAGCAGCCAGGGTTAGCTGCTCGGTGACAATGGCCCTCAGCCCCTAGAAAGGACCACTTGAGTCCCTCCTCAGGTGGGGCACAGTCTGCACCTCCAGGGGAGCCCTACCCCTACCCCACTCCAAGTAATACCTTGTCCCTCCTCCTTTGTCATGGTTCCTGTAGCCAGCAGGTTGCTTTTTTGATTTTCCACTTTTTCCCTTTGATTTCATATCATTCTTTTGTCTGTTTATATTGGTGCCAAGACTGTGAGCCTTGGAGAAAAGGACATGGGGGCCATCAGCTGCCACCAAGCTGCTTGATCTCAGCCCTCCCAGAAGGGGTGGAGTAAGGTGAGGGTGGTGCTTGGTAGGGACCCAGATAGGTCCACTCAGCTTCCTTGTTGCATGAGCAAGGATGGTCAGGTAACTCTGGCCTTCTGGGGACCTTCAGGAAGGCCTAGTTCCAAATTTCCAGGGGGGGGTGACTCTCCTGGGAGGGGCCCAGAAGCAGATGCAGTCTGCCCAGTCCTCCCCCAAAGAGGAAGACTTTCCCCTTAGAGGAAGACCCCACTAGCAGGTGCCTGGGAATACGGGGCCTGCTGATACAGCATTCCCTTGGGCTCGTGCCCTCATCCAGAGGTGTGGCTTTGAGCACTGGTATGTCAGCTCCCTCAAATCGTCTCATGTCAGGCAGCAAACTCATTTCCTTCCCTGGCAACCACTAAATTTGAGAATGTCCGGTTTTACCATAGTCAAAAGAAGTGAAACTGCTCTGTGAAATAATGTAGAAAACAAAAACACCTCAGGAGAGACCAGGTCTTTTCCTCTAAGTTGTGAGCAGAAATGAGAGGGCACCCCTGCCTCTCCTGCGAAGTTGGGCACCCCCTAGAGGAGGTGCGCCTGGAGTGCAGCCTGGGCACCTAGGGCTCTGTCACAGCTTCCTTCCAGGCCCCCTGCAGAGGGCTTCTCACCCTGCCCCAGTCCTTCCCCAGACCCCCAGGCGCAGCTGCGCTGAGAACCACTGACCTCCAGGGGCACATGGTCCTGCTCCCTCTTAATCCTGGTGGTGGTGGGGGCGGGGGGTAAAGATGAAATGGCTGGGCCTGCCCTGGAGCTCTAGAAAGTCCCCTTAGATGGAAAATGACTGATCAGAGGTGTGGGCAGCACTAGTGACCAGTGCTTACATATGCCTTGTGCTTGTGCAGCAGCTCACAGAAACCTGACCGCAGCTCTGTGGGTGCATAGCCATCACTCCGTGCGCCAAGGGGAGGAACAAAGAGGCCCACCTTGTGCCGGAGACCACACAGGTAGAAGATGGCGGGCCCATCCTTGCACCCTGGTAGTCCAGTGCTTCTGCAGGTTGCAACGCCCTCAGGAGTCCCAGGAGGGGTCCCGGCAAGTGGGCAGGAAATTGAGAGAGTGCACATTTGTGTGTGTGTGTAGACCTGGGATTAAATGAGGCATTAAATATGCCAGATTGCTGCTCTGGGGTGTGCGCACCTGCGTGTGGGACAGGGTCTCCAGGCGCCGGGGCGGCTGACCCCGAGCAGGACTCCCCATCCTGCTCCTCCAGACACTGGTTCCCATGGTGGCTCAGCCACAGGGCCTCCTCTGCAGACCTGCTTGTCTGGTGGACATGCCTGGATAATGCATTTTGGGGATGTGCCAGACCCAGTAGTCCACAGGTTCTTTCCTGGAAAGGCAGGAATTTGACAGAGAAAGAGAAGTCAGCTCTTTGCACCTCAGCCCCTGGTAAAGGGACTTCAGGGAACCTCATCACACCTAGAGCTGAATCATGGCACCATGCGAGGGCCCATCAGCCTGGAAGGGGATGTCACGTAGCTGTGGTTGGCCCTGGGCAGGTGTGGGGGGCACTCAAAGACCAACAGGAGGGCTGACCGGGAAGGACTTCGCTGCCCTGGTGTGAAGGGGTCAGCCAGCTGGTAAGGTGGGGCCTCCGGGAGCCTCTGGCTCTGGTTGCCACTGCCTCCCCATTAGCCCAAGGAATCACCCTCTCAGGTAGTTTTGAATTTCAAGTTAGATAGTAAAACTCAGTATTTTATATCCACAGATGATACTCTTGGGCACCCAGTGGCTCTTTCTGAGCAGGCCAGACTGGAACTGCCACTCTGCTTGCTGGCATCCCGGCCCCACAGCTGGAACCAGTAATAGACCTGTCACATGCAGCCTGAGGTGACCCAGGCCAGTAGGTTGTGAGCACAGCGCCCCTAGAGTGGCTGTCCCTGTGACATCCTTGTCGCCTGCCTCCATGGCTGAGACTTAGGGCCTCTCCATAGCTGAGAGCTGGCCTTTGGTCAGACCTCCGCTCTGCCTCCTTTCTAATTCCCTCTCGTGTGTACAGCGGGAAACAGGGGTGAGACCGAGATGGGCAGACTGTCCCCGAGCCTGCCTTGCTGAGCTGGGCTGGGTCTTACCCACCTCGGATGTCCAGACTCCTGCACAGCTCTCCCGGCCTCCAGGTGCTCCCTCCCAGGGCCTGCCTTGGCATGCGGCTGGCCCTGGAGTCGCATCGCTGCCAGCCATGTTCCCAGGGGCCCTGAGATCATGAGATTAGCCTCTTGTCTCAGGGTTGCCCCCTTTGCAGCCCTGGAATTTCCTCACATTCCAGATCTGATGTGAAGGTATGATCTCTCCTCTGGCCTGGGCACATGTTCACCTCAGCGAGCGCAGGAGGAAAGAGATAACAATTTAAGTGGTTATCACTGCCACATACATACCTTGTAAAATTCAGCCTCTGCTTGTGGGAGGGAACAGGTGTCCTGTAGAGCAGGTGCAGACCCCAGAGCTAGGGGTGAGGGTTGGCGGCTTCCTTGCTTCACCTTCCCGCGTAGCCATTGGCTGGTGTTACTGCTACCAAAATGTCAGCAGTTTGTTTTTTCAAAGAAAGGAGACTGCAAACATTCGAGAATGATAGCAAGTCCCCAAATCTGTATCCTTGGGGGTGTTTGTGCACCTGCAGAATTGGTTTCCTCTGCAGCATTGCTGCCCTCACCCTCACGCCAGGGGTGGCGGCCTCATTTTGTGTTCACACATCGCGGCTGCTACACTGGGGTCACGGCCAGTGCTGTGGTGGGGCTTGTTGAAATGCCCGTGGGAGCAGCTGTCCTGGTGGGTGGCAGTCTGTAGCCCAGGAGTCCGGACTTGGTGGAGTACTTTCCAGTTCCCCTGTTGCTGGGATGAACCTCTGCCCTTGGGAGTTCCTGCCCAGTGGGGCAGCGGGCAGGCACCTGCGGGGTGTCCCTCTCCTGGGGCAGCATTCGGCCCGGAGGTTTGCAAGTAGCATGGCTGTGCCACCCGGGCTGTTACCCGGCTCATCATGCAGAGGGCGTGGTCCTCCGCACGTGGATCTGAAGCCGCAGCCTCCCCCGGCCTTCTTGCCATTGACTGGTGGCTGCTCAGCACCCTGGGAAGCCACCATGAGCATCCTGAACCCTTGACTTCTCTTTCTGAGGCTCATGCTTTTCTCCCTCTGTCCCGCAGCTGGTCAGCGAGAAGGTTGGAGGGGCTGAAGGGACCAAGCTTGACGATGACTTCAAAGAGATGGAGAAGGTGAGAGGAGTGGTACACGTGGTACACAGTGGCCTGCCACTGTGTCAGCCCCCGTGTGCCCAGCTCAGACAGCTGTCTAGGGGGCAGTGGGGTGGGGAAAGGCCCGTCAGGATAGGTTAGGTGGGTGGCCCGGCAACCCCAGAAGCAGCAGATGGTCCTTGTGTAGACTCTGGTAGGTGGTGGGTGGGGAGCAGGACCTTCTCGCGCACAAGGACTGTCCAGGGCTCTATACCTGGTTTGGCCTCAGGCACCCCAGTATTTACAAAATCCCATGTTGCCTCTCTTTACAGAAGGTGGATGTTACCAGCAAGGCTGTTACAGAAGTGCTGGCCAGAACCATCGAGTACCTGCAGCCTAACCCAGGTGAGGGTGCCGGGCAGCCACGATGGGTCCATCCTGTGCAATCAGGGATCTTCTGTTATCCGGGCATGAAATGGGAACGTATGTGCTCATGGGACTGAAATGCCCGGGGATGGACATGTTCAGGCATGGCTGGGCCCGGGAGTCCAAAGATTGTCCTGGGGTCATACATTTCCTTTCCACCGCATCGACAGCTCATTCCTCATTCCAGTCCTGGCCTTAACCACCTCTCCGTTAAAGGTCCCATAGAAAGAGCATTTTTTCCTTAACCAACCCACTGGACCAGTTTGAATTGGGTGATCATCTGCCCCGTGTGCCAGACCCAGTCCACATGGCTACTTTCGGAGCAAGGCATGGGTTCTCCCAGGTTGAGAGGGAGGCAGGGTTCTTTCCCCGAGGAAATTCTCAGTGCTGGTTTCCGGGGCAAGCGGCGATAAACACTGCAGGACACCAGCCGTGTCCACTCAGGCCCGTGTCAGGGTCAGACTTGAGAAGCAGAGAGCTGCCCACCACTGCCTCGCTGAGGCATTTCTCCCCAGGCCCAGGAGAGGTGGTGTTCAGTGAGAGGGCAGACCCTGGGGCTCCCAGGTACCATGCGGGGTGCCCAGGTCAGAAAGAGGCCTCGTGATGGAGGACCAGCTACCTCTTCCACTTACCCTTGCTCACTGACGGTGCCTATTCACGACCAGCGGGAACACAGGTCTGCTCCAAGGCATCGCCTCATGGCTTGGCCCCAGCAGGTGCAGGAAGTGAGGTTCCCTGGGCTAAGGGGATGCTTTAGGAATAAGCAGGCGGCAGAGAAGGGGACTGGCTGGTGGTGTGGGAGACTTGGGAGTTCATCCTCACGCCCCCACGTCCTGTTCCAGCCTCGCGGGCCAAGCTGACAATGCTCAACACAGTGTCCAAGATCCGAGGGCAGGTGAAGAATCCTGGCTACCCGCAGTCAGAGGGCCTCCTGGGCGAGTGCATGATCCGCCATGGGAAGGAGCTAGGCGGCGAGTCCAACTTTGGTGAGAGCTGATGGGGGGGCCTGGGGGTGGGAGGATAAGATCCAGAGGGGTGACCGGGGTGGACACAGTAAGCAGGATGGTGCTTCTCTCCCTAATTCCAGAATCTTCTCTAGGACTGGCTAGTCTCCTGGTGACAGCTAAGGTTCCCACGAGAGTCCCTCTGGCCCCTGAAGGTTGAGGGAGGATCTTCCAGCAATACCCACGCCATGAGAAGCCCCCCTCACACCACAGCTAGTTTGGTGCAGACCTGGTCTCACCTGTGAGTGTGAGGGTGGCTTTTGAACACTAGCACTGCCAACACCTGCCCTTCCGTGGCTACAATTCAGACCTGAGGGTCCCCTTTGTGGCCCTGGGCCATGGAGTGTGGAGGCACCCAGCCCATAGGCAAGGCTTCCTATGACAGCTTCTCCCACCCTCCCTCCTGCAGGTGACGCCCTGCTGGATGCAGGGGAATCCATGAAGCGCCTGGCAGAGGTAAAGGACTCCCTGGATATTGAGGTCAAGCAGAACTTCATTGACCCCCTCCAGAATCTGTGTGACAAAGACCTGAAGGAGATCCAGGTACCACCCCGCATACCCCCTACCCCAGCTTCAGGGGTCCTTAGCTAAGAGGGGGAGCCCCCTCTGCCCACTTGTGTATATTCACCGTTGCGCCTGGGGTAGGTTTCCCAGCGCAGAGGCCTTGGGCTAAGGTCCTTCCCCCTCATGTGACTCCTGTCCCCACCTCCCAGCACCACCTGAAGAAGCTGGAGGGCCGCCGGCTGGACTTCGACTACAAGAAGAAGCGTCAGGGCAAGATCCCTGACGAAGAGCTGCGCCAGGCCATGGAGAAGTTCGAGGAGTCCAAGGAGGTGGCTGAAACAAGCATGCACAACCTCCTGGAGACCGACGTACGCATGTGGGCCCCGGGGCCTCCCCCCACCGCAGCGGCCTGCCCGGGACTGCCCTGGGGTGGGACCAAAACAGGCCCATTCTCACTCTCTTACTCCTGGCTATAGTTGCCCATTCAGGAAACAAGAAGAGACCAGAGGGGGCAGCAACCATCCTACTGCAGAGGGTAGGGTGGGCAGCCTCCTGAGGCTTGGGGTTTCCTCTTGGGCCCTTTGCCTTCTATGGCTGCAGCACAAGGTCAGGCAGACAGGTAGGGTCCTGTGGCTGGGCAAGTCCAGGAAGACGCCCTGTTGGAGGCAGCCTATTGGTGAGAACTGTGGGGAGAGGAGCCCCTTCAGCCCTGCTGGTCGCTTGCAGATCGAGCAGGTGAGCCAGCTCTCGGCCCTGGTGGATGCCCAGCTGGACTACCACCGGCAGGCCGTGCAGATCCTGGATGAGCTGGCTGACAAGCTCAAGCGGAGGTGAGCCCCAGGCCCCTGCCTTCCTTGTAGGAACCCCACCCTGCTCTCTCCTAGCCTGCAAAGTCCCAGGTCCCTGGAAGCCTGGAGTCACCCCCAAGAGCCTTGGGCCAGCCCTTCAGGGTACCTGCGACACTGCCTTGTGCCCTCTGCCAGTGGGCGGGGGCGGCGCCTCACCCTAACATCCAGCCCTGTACACGTTCCAGAGCCCAGGAACTGGCTTCCTGTGGGGGCAGAGGTCCTTGAGGGGTGGGGTGGGCGAGGGAGGGGAGGACCAGAGAGGCTTCAGGCCCAGGGACTTCCTTCGCTTCCATGACTTTCCTGCCATGGGCCGCCGGGTTCTCGGGCTCCTCTCGCCCCAAACAGTCTCAAGACTAGTTGGCATGCAGAACTGAGAGGGAAGCCTTGGGTGACGGTATTCTCCGGGGAGGCACGGAGTGGGGCGAGTTGGGCACCAGCTGCTCAGAGGACTCCAGGCCTCGGAAGGATCTGGCTGGCCCACAGTCTGCGGGTTGCTCGAGTCAAGGCTGCTAGCTGGGGGCATTTGTTGGACCCATCTGTCCTCGGTGTCCTGCCAGTGTCAGGGTCCCTAACCCCCGCCCTGTCCTGGGACAGCCACCTCAGTGATGGGGTGGGAGAATCGTCCCTGGCCTTGTCACCTGACTGCTTACTGTTTACCCCTCCCACGCACACAGGATGCGGGAAGCTTCCTCTCGCCCCAAGCGGGAATACAAGCCGAAGCCCCAGGAACCCTTTGACCTCGGAGAGCCGGAGCAGTCCAATGGGGGCTTCCCCTGCACCACAGCCCCCAAGATCACAGGTACTGTTCGTGGAGGGACCCATTACCCCAAGCAGCTTGGGGCCGCTCCCAGCCCACTGCTCCATGCAGACTGGGCAGAGGAGCGCCGACCCCAGCGCTGGCCACCCACCGCTGCTTTGTCTCACACAGCGTCGTCATCTTTCCGATCTTCAGACAAGCCCATCCGGACCCCCAGCCGCAGTATGCGTGAGTGCCCCAGCCTCAGTTTGTGACGCCGCCTTCCATTCTGTTCCAGAAGCGTCTTCCTCCTCCTCTTCCCCTCCTCTAGAAGAAGCGGACACTGTGGTTGGGCCTCTTGGATAAGGGCGGAGCTGAACAACAGGCCTCGGCCGCCCCGTGTGCAAGGGGCTGTCAGGAGCACAGCTCCCAGCCCTCTCGCACCCTCCCCGACTCTGGGCTCGCTGAGTGACATCTGAGGCTGTGCTTTCAGTCATTCTGTCGCCCTGAGTGACAGCGGGTGTCCCTGCCCCCTCCCAGGATATCTTAGTAACCACTTGCAGAGCCCTTTCCATCCCTTTTGTCGCTTGCTCCTTCCGTCTAACGAAGGGAGCCACAGGAAGGAGGAAGCAGTTCTTTGGGGGAAACCAAGGGTCAGTGAAGCCATAGAACTAGGGTGGGGCCCTGGGCCGGGCACCAGGTGCACACCAGCAGGGCAGGTGGGGGGTTGGGGGGGCCCTGGAGGGCTGAGCTGATCTTGTGGCTGGAGTGAGCATGGTAGCCCGGTCCTTACCTCTTCCGTCACCCCGGCCTCCGCAGCTCCCCTGGACCAGCCGAGCTGCAAGGCCCTATACGACTTCGAGCCTGAGAATGACGGGGAGCTGGGCTTCCGCGAAGGCGACATCATCACGCTGACCAACCAGATCGATGAGAACTGGTACGAGGGCATGCTCCACGGCCAGTCCGGCTTCTTCCCCCTCAGCTACGTGGAGGTGCTGGTGCCCCTGCCCCAGTGACAGCAGCGGCCCGGCTTCTCCGTCCACAGTCCACTCCCCTGCATTCCACTTAGCTCTGCCGGCGGGCACGGGCCCTGACGTGACAGCAGTGCTGTGCCAGGGTGGCTGTGGGAGGCTGTCCTGGTTTCTGGGGAGGTGAGGGCCTTGTTTACACACACGCTCACCACGGTGGTGGGCGCTCCCTCCCCCACGCCACAGCACTGGGCAGTGTTCCTCCTTCCTTGTGCCCGGACTCCACCTGCCCGGGCGCAGCCAGCCCAGGGGGCTAACACTAAGGTGCTCTTACAAACACTAACCCTGCTCCCGCGGGACTGCCGGCTCCAGGTCCCCCCATAGCGCTCTCTCTCACACACACACTCTTTCTCTCTCTCTCACACTCTTACACACACACATATATCATTAAAGGGAGGAGCTTGCTTGTCTGTACAAGGGGGTGGTCTGGGGGACCCTAACACGTCAGGGCTCCCTACCCTGCTCTTAAATCCTCACATTTCCTTTCCAGCCTGTTGCTGGCGATGGGCCCCACCCTGACTCCAGGGCTCCCCAGGCCCCTGCACACCCACAGCCACCACCTCACTGAGAGCCATTACCCTCCCTCAGACCTGGGGCTTGCGGGGAGAGGAGTCTGGGGTCCTCAGCCAGGTCCCCTCAGCAGCACTTGGGCCACACACACCCATGCCCACCTCTCCCCTCTTACCCTTCCTTCCTGTGGGGTGCCCCACCTCAGCCAAGCACAGGGAGGGTTTCTCTGGCACAAGCTGCCACCACCAGCTACACGCACCACATGGACACACACACAGACACACACGGGACCACTGGAGCACCCCAGCCTCCGCTCTTTGAAGGTCAAGCACAAAGGCTTCCATGCGTTAATGTTCATGGACCCCTGGCTTGTGGGGCTTCCCCTGCCCCGAGCCAGCCACCATCACCACAGAACAAGAAAGCAACAGCCCGGAGCAGCAGGGCCCCAGCCCCAAGTTGCTTCTCTTGCCTGACCCAAAAATTGCTTAAATGAGAGGACCTTGAGCCTGGTTCACATTCCCCCTTCCAGTGACCCCACAAAGCCCCCAGGACACCAGGCTGCACTCACCCCTGAGTCTCCCCTCTACACCATTATTTAGGGGAGGCACAGACATCCCGGCTGAGACCAGCAGCCTTGGTCATAGTCTAGACCGGGGGGAAATTTTTTTTTTTTTAAAGTATTAAATGTCTCTTTCTATAGCCTCTCGCCTGGTTGCACGGGGAGGACATTCCCCCAGCCTACCCAGATTCCAGGGGTCCCTGGTTGGGACAGAGCCCATGTGGCCTCGCACCCTCCGCTGGCTGGGGGGAACGTGGTGACTGCTGCTCGCCCATCACCAGCCAGGCAGCCTGGTCCCCCCCCACCCCCCCCCAGAGACCCGTCCCACAGCACTGCTCTCATTCTCGCTCACGCCCGTAGCGAGTCCCTCCCTCCTGCAGGCGGGGCTGCACTGTGCTCCCTGCCCAGACAGACAAACCGAGGGCTGTTCGCGTCTCTTCTTTATTGTCTGGGCCCTACCGTCACACAGCTGAGTCACAGGGAGAGGATGCCTCACAGCCACCAGCAGTCCTGGGCCTGTCCTCACCAGGCCTGGAGCGGAGGGTGAGGGCGGGGAGCATCAGGTGCTGAGTCTGACAGCCCCCCTTATCGGCCGGGCCCTCAGTTCCCCTGCTTGAGGATGCTGTAAACTTGCTCCAGCACATGGCACAGACCCTGGTCCTTGGGTGTCCTGCTGGCCAGGGAGATCTGAAACAAGCAGAGCCTGGCCTCAGGGCTGTGCCTAGCAGCCCTCCTGGTTTGTGTTCTGCCGGCCGGTGCCGCAGCCTGGCGGGCGGGCTCTGCTCAGCCAGGAGCATGGCGCTGTCCGGTGGTGACGCTTTCTAACTAGAGCGCCGTGTCGCACAGAGGCGTTCCCAAATCCCCCTCCACCAGCTGCTGGGACGGCCCCGCCCTGGACTCCAGGGCTGTGACAGCCACCCCCCCCCCCCCACAGCCCAGTGCTGCGTGGCAGCTTTAACCACGGTCAGTCTTTGGTTTTGTTTTTTAAGTTTAAACAAAACAAGCAAACACTGAAGCTGCATTTCTCGGCTAAGCCGAGCAGAGAGTGACTTTGAAACAGGAAACAGACACAAGCCACCCAGTCTGGTTTCACTACCCAGCTAATTTGAATGTCCCGGGCAGGCACACTAGAGAAACACATTCACACTCTGCCTGCTCTTCAGGCTCTGAATCAGATCAGGGCCCCTGCAGCACCCTCCAGGGGTAGCGTGGGGACACCCCTGGTGCGGGACTCGGGTTTGAAGGCTTTTACATTCCTCTGTGTTTTGATGGTGATCTTGACCACCATCACCACCCCTGCGTGGCAAAACAAGCCTTTTTCTTGGCAGTTAACTTCTGACTGAATACTCTTGTCCAGAACAAGTTAGGAAGTCACCGTCTCAGGCTACCGATGGCTGTATCCCTGGGGGCTCCCCAAGAAGTGCTTCCCTGAAGGAGGGGGAGTCTCACCTTCAGTTTGTCGAGGTAGCTGTGCTCCTGGCTCCAGGGCTCCTGGAATCGCACGAGGTCAGGGGCACCCTTGTAGAACTCCACCAGCAGCATCTAGGGGAAGGGGTGGGCGACACCTCGCTCCTACCCATCCTGCACCAACCACAGGGAATTCACTGCCAGGGCTGGCACGGAGCCCCTTGGGGAGCTCCCAGTCTAACAGCACAGAGAGGGTACCCAGTGCCCGACAGCCCACCGGGGAGGGTCGCCCCTGAGGGAAGGGGCATGATAAACGTGGTTCTTTATCCACTGGGCCTGACACCGCATCCTGGTCTAGCGTCATCTTGCACAGTCACACCGGTCAGGTCAGAGGCATGACAAACTAGCTCCTTTGTTAAATACCTGTAGAACCCTGGGTATTAATGTTCATCCCAGGTAACACCTGAAGTTCCCTCATGTGTCTCCACTTGGAGAATCAGTGGCAGCTGCAGAGGCGGGAACACGCCTGGCATGTCCAGAACAGCAGGGAGGCCAGGTGGGGGGAGCAGCTGGGCAAGGGAGGGGAGAGGCAGGAGGGACCCGAGCAAGTATCTAGGATGTGATCCTGAGAGCCATGGGTAGTCTGCAGTAGCGGAAGAGGACTCTGACCCAGGCCCTGATGTGGCACATTCAGCCGTGGCTTCTGGAGTCCCGTGCCAGGTACCGCGTGGGCTAGGAACCTTCAGATCTCACCCACTCCGCCCCCGAGACCCCCAGCCCACCCGGGAGTGAGCTCACCATCTCGTGAAGGATGTCGTTAGTCAGGAAGCTGTCCTGGATGTAGGCCATCTCCACGTCCATGGGGATGCCGTAGTCACTGGGTCTTTGCTGGTGGGGACATGAGCCCGTCACCACCAGCCAGCCCCGGCCCTCCACCCCAGGGCGGTCCGGCGGGCCTTGCTCGACACGCGGGTCAAAGGTGCCGAGCCACTTGGGACCTTAGTGGCACCCAGTGGTGCCACTAGGGAGGCAGGGTGGTTCCCCTCCCACACAGGGGCGTGACAGAGCCACGACCCTCAGTTTCTCTCCAGAGCTGATGTCTGCCCCTGAGACAAACTCGGGAAGACATCAGGAAGGTTCAGGAGGAGGCCGTCTCGGTAGCAGGCGCCATGCTGTAGGTAGAGCCCCGCCATCTCAACAGCCCTCACCCCCAGGCCCTCCGTGAAGCGGCTCACAGGGACAGTCACGTTTCCACTGCGCGCCTGGTAGACTGAGGCCTCAGTCTGGAACCAGACTCGTCAAGACCTCCTGGCCCCACCCCATCTCTGGCTCAGCCTCCCTCGGCAGCCCACCTACCTCAGGGGGCGGCATCACCCAGAAGGGCGAGATCTTGGACTCTGGGCCCGGGTTGCCAGAGTAGTAAGGGGCTGCAGGAGGACAGTGAGAAAGGGGGCTGGGCCTGGGGGGGCTCGTGGGCCTCCGAGGCCGCCCCTGGCCCCTAGCCCGGGACTTACAGCAGAGCAGGGCTAGGCAGGGCTGGAAGCCGTTGCTGGAGCCCTGCAGCCGCAGCTGGTAGTCCATCTGGGTGTCGATGTCCTGCAGCGACGGCAGTGCCGGGCTGTGCGGGTGGCTGTGGTACCAGCCGACCAGGGACAGGCCTCGCAGGAGCAGGCTCTGGTAGATCTGGGGGCAGACTCGAGGCTGGGGTGGGCAGGGCAGGGGGCCCTACCAGCCCAGGTGCACCCACACTACTACTTGTCCCAAGCCTGCCTGGCACACCCAGCCCCCACACACCCCAACATTAATGAGTGCCAGCTGTTACCAGGCATGGGCACACAGCAGTAACCAGACAGACCTGGCTTCTAGCCCGGTGCCACGCATTATGTGCCATTATGAAAACGATTAAGACGAGCAGCTAGTGCTTCCCAGGCTTTGTGCTAGGCGCCAGGTGCACGTGCAAGCGGCGGCCCAGAGAGGAAGGGGCTGGCCACGTGCTGCACAGAGGAAGTGTGGGAGTGAACCCTAGCCGTGGGGTCAAAGGTGCAGGGGCGGTGTGCACACGCACCTGCACACTCACGAGTGTGGAAACCACTAGCTGTGGGAACTCGGCAGCCCTGACAGCTGTGTTCACCCCAGCCCTCCCCAGAAAGCCCTGTCCCTGGCAGCCCCTCACCTCCTCTTCGATGGTGGCGGCTGTGTCGCAGTCCCCCAGCCGGCTCCGGCACGGGAAGGCCCTCAGCACTGTGAGCACTGGGCAAGGGAGGGGAATGCACGGGTATCGACAGCAGCCCCAAACGCCCCCCTCACCACCCAGCTCCAAATACCCACTCTGGCTGTTGATGTCCCAGCGGCCCCCAAGGTACCCCACGACCTCACTCCGGGTCAGGTGGCTGTGGAAGTCCTGGTAGGGGAGGGACATGGGAAGACCGGCTCAGGCTGCAGTGCCACGTGCAGACGCCAGCCCCTCCTTCATGTAAACACTGAGTGCCTGCCGTTTAGCAGGGGCCCCCACCCTCAGGGAGTTAATATTTCAGGGCCCCCCCTCCCTCTGGGGCACCCCAGTCCCCTGCCCAGGCCCTGAGCACACACCAGCAGAAACAGCACATTGCTGGACATGGCCACGTTGAATGGCTGGAACTTGTTGATGGCAGCGAAGGATGTTACTTCCACCAGAGTGTGGGGGTTCCTATAGGAGCCAGAGGGTCCCACAGTCTCAGGACCCCCAGGCCTTTCCCTCACCCCTAAGCTGGCTCCCAGCCCCTAAAGCCAGCTCTGGGGATCTGAGGCCTTGTTCCCACCCTACCCTTGCTCTTGCTTCCCCCACATTGGCAAGAGCTCCATGTAAGGGGTGGGGGGGCTGGTGGCAGGCTTAGCCACATCTCACCTGGTGGAGTCTCGACTCCCCAACATGCAGTAGCGGACAGGAACCCGGATCTTGTTTTCCAGCCGCTTCCCAGGAAGCATGGCCTCTGGAGGAGGCGAGGGTAAGAGGCAGCATCAGTCCCTCCCCAACCCAGAACTGCAAAGTGAGGAAGGGGCAGCCCAGGAGGGCAAAAGCCCCAGAGGCAGCCTTGAAAATCAGGAGGGGGCCTCCCCCGTGGCGCAGCGGTTGAGCGCTGGGTTGCGAAGCTGCCCGCTGCCTCTGCGGCGCAGGTTCGATCCCCGGCTGCTCCCCGGCCACCGGAGGAGGGTCCCACATGGCGCGCAGACCTCTCCTGCCGCCCGCTGCTCCCCTCAGCAGTGTGCTTCGGTCCTTCTGCCTGCTCTGCTCCCCGCTCTGGCTCTGGTGAATTCTCTCACCCTCCCACGCTTCTGACTGTACCCAGTGCTTGTATAAATAAACAAACAAACAAACAAATGAATAAATACAATATGGGCCTCTTTAAAAAAAAAATTAAAAAAAAAAAAGAAAATCAGGAGGTGGGTCTGGCACTCGGGCGGCTGGTAACGAGCTGGCAGAGGATACTCATCGGGAAGGGCTCGGGGAGGCAGGTGAGGAGCTCAGAAAACCAGGCAGGTGGCCAAAGACTCCGCAATCAGAGCTAAGAAACCGGGCAACAGGCAAAGAAATCGCACGGGGGAGCAAGGAAGTCAGGCAGCGGGACTAAGAAATCCGGCAACACAAAGTGGGCTGTGGGACCACGAGGCCCGGTGCTGGAGCGGACGGAGTCCCGCAGGGGGAGTGAAATTGTCAGTGGGGCTGGGACGTCAGCAGAGGGGAAAAAAGGTCAGACCTAACCCCAGCCTCCCCCCACACCCACATTCTGACGGCTCCCTGTCCTCCCTCCCCCCATCACCCCTTACCAGAGTGGGCGGACTCTGGGGGCCCCTTGGACAGTGCTCTCCGGCTCTTGTCCTCCGACGAGACGCCTGCCAGGACCTCCTCCTCCTCCTCCTCCATCAGCAGCTCCTCCTCTTCCCCTTCACTGGCCGGGCTCTAGAGGGGTGGGGGTCAGCGGTGGGACCCTCAGCTGGTGCCCCCATTCTCCCCTGCAAATTTCATCCAGGCCGAGAGCAGACCTAAGCCTTCCGTTCCCGCTGCTGCTGCCCCGGGTGCCCACTAGAGGGCGGCAGTGCGCCAGTGTGGGCTAAGGCTGGGGCAGCTCAGGCCTGAGCTCACGCCTATGGCTCCAAAGTTTGATCCTTCCCCTGCCTCTCAGAGCTGCTTTCCCGCCAGCGCCTCAGCTCTCCTTAGTAAGGACATGCCTGAGAGAATGAGAGAATGCGCGCAACGCCTTCAGCCACCCCCTGCTGCTCCATTCATTGAGCAAGGAGAGGCCTTGCAAGGATTATTTTATTAAAGTCTCAATAAACTCCCTCTTGCTCGCTGGTGAACTCTTCTTGCCGAGGTGACTTTTTGTGCATATCCTGTGGGCACAAATGTCTCTGCCCTCATGCCCCTTCTTGGGGACTCCTCCAGGCTCCAGGCATTCTCAGCTTCCCCCTTCCTCCCTGGAGGCCCCCTCAGCTTGTCCCTCTCCACCCGCCTTGCTCAGGCCTGGGTCCTTAGGCCTCTCCCCTCCCTACTTTGACACCCCTGGGCGGCCTCTGCCATTGTCCATCCACCCAAACTTGCTCCTCCCCGCGTCTCAGAGGAGGGCAGCAGCACCCATCCACTCACTCAGAACAAAACCTCCTAACCCCAACATCTGATCCATGCTGTCAGATCCACCTTCAGAACTACCCAGAACATGCCCATTTCTTACCCCCTCAGAGGCTAGCCTGATCTACTTCATCATTGCTCCCCAAGACCAGCACAGTTCCCTGGTCCCCACAAAGTAAAGGGCGGGGAAGAAGGGCTCCCACCTTCTTTGGCAAACCCAAGACCTCCCTTACAGCCACAAGGCCCAGCACCACCTCTTCTACCCCCCTCCTTGCCCTCACTTCCATTTTCTCCCCCTCCCTCACTTTGCTTCAGCCACGTGTTTCCTCACTGTTCCTCCATCACGCCACAGCCACCTGCCCCAGGGCCTTTGCACAGACTGTTTCCTAGATGCCCTCAGAGCTCTCTCCCTCCCCTCCTTCAGTTCTCTTTTCAAATGTCACCTCAGTGACCCAACTCCCACTCCCACCCCTATTCTTCTCCTCTAACACACTATAACATGGACTTATTTTCTTTGTCTCTCTCCCCATGATGGAGATTTTTCTCAGTGTTCTCTGCTTTATCTCCAGCACCAAACACAGGGCCTGGCGCAGAATTGGCACTTAATAAAAATTTGCTGAATGAAAAGCCCAACATGGCATGAGGGTTAGTCTTACATGTCAGCTTGGCTAGGCTCTAGAACTTAATCCAGCACTAGTGTAGGGGCTATTTGGTATTGCGGTTCACATCCACAATAAACTGGCTGTCAAAAATTACCCTTGATAGGAGCCTCCCTGGTAGCCTAGGGGTTAAGTCTCAGCGCTACCACTACCATGGCCCACTGTGGTGGCCTGAGTTTGATCCCCAGCCAGGGAGCTAACCTACATGGTGCAGCTAGACCTCTCCTGTCTTGCCCGCTGATCCCCTCAACAGTGTATTTCAGTAGATTTGCCTGTTCTGCTTCCCACTGTCTCTGGTGAATCCCCTCACCTCTTGCACTTCAGGCCTACACCCCAGTTCTTCTACGCAACAATAAATAAAATCTTTAAAAAAAAAGATTACCCTAGACCTCATGCAATCAAGTTGAAGGGCCTGAAGAACGAAAACAGGCTTCTTAAAAACCGAAAACAAAACAGGCTGCCTCAAGACCGAAGTGTCAACTCCTGCCCAAGGCTCCAGATGATCACTGGCCTACAGATTTCAGACTTGCAATCACCTGTGTCTAACGCACACGGGTAATACTGTCATCTTTTTATTTATGTACAAGACTAAGGAGGGTCCTTGGCCAAGTTCACCCAGTGGGTGACTCTCCAAAGATTATGATGGCATTCAAGACCCTCCTAGATCTGGTCCTTGCTAATGTGTCCAGTCCCCTCACGTCCCCCAAGACATCTGAACCTCCAGCGCACCCACTGGTCATGGATCCCTAATTGCACATGTTGCTTCACACCCACGTGTCCAACCTCTGGGAAGTTTTCTCCTTCATCTTGTTCTGACAAACTCCTGCTCATCCCTCAAAGCCCCAGCTCCAACACCCTCTCTCTGGCCCATCCGTGGAGGAGCTGTGTCCAACTGGGCACTTTTTATCCAACAGTGAGTCAGGGAGGGCTTGCCTTGGGAGGCTGAAGGACGCACCTCATCAGCGACAGCTGCAGGCACATGGAGCTGGTGTCGCCGGAGCCAGGCAGCCTTGTACTTGTCCAGCTTCTGGCCCTTATACTTGACGGAGGCCCAGCCACAGCCTGATTTCTTGGCCGGGTTCACCAGTTTCTTGCAGTGGGTGGCCCAGGCGCTGGGTGAGTTGAATACTTGCCCTGTTTCCTGCCACACGATCCTCCCATCTGGCTGCAGATCCCCCATGAACTTCTTCCCCTATATCAAGAGTAGGCAGGCTGGACCAGGAGCTGGCACCCACCAAGACCCCTCCTCCAGGAAGTTTTCCCTGATTACGCACTACTCTGGGGCTTGGCACCCACTTCCCACCATGGCACTTCTTCCAGGCAGCCTCCCGGTGCCTGTATGTCCACTGTCACATTCCTGACCAGACTGTGTCTAAATGGTCCAGTTATCGTGGCCACCTCCCCTCACTGGACGGCGAGTCCCCGAAGGACGGGGTCCGTCTTGATCACAGCCATGTCCTTAACTCCCACAGACAGGCTGGCACACAGCCCTTGCTCGGGTCACACACTGTTCCCACCCACAAATCCAGCAACAGCAACAGCAGTAACACCAGCACTTAAAAGCACGCCCTGCGTTGCAGGCACCCTGCTGGACGCCTCGTTTACTTACTCCCCAGCCCCAAGGGAGGGGAAAAAAAATACCATTTTACAGATGGGGGAACAACTCGGGGACACGGGGCGAGGCGACCCGGCCAAGGAGGCCGCCGGCTGCTCTCTGGACCTCGGTGTCTCCTTTGTGGAGCGCGGAGTCTGGGGAACGTCGCGCTCGCACCCACAAAGGCTCGTTCTCGGTCTGGCTGCTCGGGGTCCGCGTCCCTCCCCACCTCAGGCCTCGGGGCGCAGGGGCGCCTCCCCTCCTGCCCCAGCCCGATGGGATGGGATTGGGGGCGGGGGGCTCACCAGGTAGTAGATGGACAGCACCCCGGCGCCGGGCTCCAGCAGCGCGTCTTTGAGCAGCACCCGCAGCGTCACCGCGCGCCGGGTGAGGGCGCCCCCCGCGCCCCCCAAGAGCCCCGACCCGGGCCCGGCCCCCGCCGCGCCGCCGCCGCGCGCGCTGCCCGCGCCCGCCAGGCGCTCGGGGTCCTCGGCCTCCGCCTCGTCCTCCTCCTCCTCGGGGGCCTCCTCGCCCGCGCCGCCCGCCGGGGACAGCGACTCCGGAGCTGCGGGCGGCAACAGGCTGCAGCGGGGCCGCGCGCCCCCCGCGCCCCCCGCGCCCCCGCGGGCCCCGCGGGCCCCGCCATCCCGCCCGCCGCCCCGGGCGCGGTACCTGCCATGGCGGCTCCGCCCCGCGCCCTGCGCCCTGCGCGCCGCCGGCGCTTTCTTCCCGGCACGTGACGCGGCTCCGCCCCGAAGTGGGGCGACCCGGTCGGCGGCGCCTCCGGTGCGGGCTGGGGTCGCGCGGGCCGAGCCGGGGGCCGCCGGCTGCAGCCGCCCCCGGGCCCAGCAGCAGGAGCCGGGGCCGCCGCGGCAGCCCGAGCGGGCCTGGGCCCCCCCCGCCCCGCACCTGCCCGCGCGGTTCACGGTGCGGCCCCGCTGGGTGCGGGCGCACGGGGTGGCCCCAGCAGCCCCCCTGGGTTTCTGGCCCCATCCTCAGACCTTTGTCCAGAGGCCTGATGCCCCCTCCTGCCCACCCCCCCCAAAGCCGCGGGGCGCCATGGGCTGGGCTCCGCCGCAGGTGGACTCCGGGACCCCAGGCTGGACCCCGGGACGCCCCGCAGCCGGCCGCCGCCCGGACCCGCCCTAAGGTAAGGGGCTCTGGGGACTCACTGCTTTCTCCTCCCAGCTTCTCGCGCCGATCTCCGGGTGGGTTCTCTGTTGTGACGCCCCGGGTAAGGCGACCCCCTGCGCGCTCTGGACCCCCCGGGTTTGCTCGAGCCTCTCTGGGCTCCGACTTTGCTCCCCTGGGCTCCTGCAGAGGGATCTGATCTTACTCCTGCCACCTCGACAGCCTCCTGCCGCGCTGAGGATTTTGCCTGTTGCGGCTGAGGGAAAAACTCCCCGCCTGGTGGGACAGGTCTTGGAAGCCCAGACCCCACCGTAGGCCCAGCTCCAGCTGGTGGCCCCGGGCACCTCCTTCGCTGCTTTCCAGCCAACACACGCGATGGCGCCCGGGAAGCCGGCGGCGTGGGGAGCGCGCTGCGGACAGGGTGCTGCTCACCTTGCCTCCCCTGTGCTGTTTCCCTTCCCTCTTCTCTCTCAGCATTTGCACCTCGTTCCAGTCCTTTGCTCCCCCAAATCGACCATGGGCCATAAGATCTATCGTCACAGGAAATCAGGAAAGTGTTCCAAAAGACTCCCCCTGAGGTGCATTCCTAGGAATTGGGACAAACTTCGATTCGATGCAATAGCCAGGGAAAAGCTACTGCTCGTTTGTAAAACCTCCCGGCCCCAGGACACGGTGTAGGCCAGGAGGCCAGCCTGGGAACCACCAGATATGAAACCATAATCGAGCCCAAGCTTCTCTGCCAGGGAGAGCAAAAATGGGGAGAAATCCCCTGTGCAGGCACGTGAAATGTGCACTGGACGCCAGCGTGAGCAGAGCTTGCTGAGGATTTGTGGTCTCTGACCTCCCTCCTCACACTTGCCAGATCAACAGGGAAGGCCCCGAGCACAGGCTGTTCCCTCGGCCACCAGCCTCCCCTTGGGGGTAAAGCCCAGGCCAGGTGAGCCTTGCGCCTTCCGTGAGGCTGCTCATGGACGGCGGCCCTGGCAGCCTCCTGCTCCTCTCCCCTCAGACCACCCCCGTGCGCAGGAAGACGTGCCAGCGTCGCTGAGGGCCCAGGGAAATTCAAGGATGAGTTTGTTAGACGAGAGCGGCTTTAACTCCAGTGTAGGGACACGCAGGGCACTGCTGACATGCCGCGCCCCGCAAGGAGGCCCAGGCGATCCTGAAGACCGGGGACGCTGTGCATTTAGCAGCTCTACCAGGGCCAGGTGACGCGGCACATTAAGGGGGAGCTCAGGCAGCCCCAGACACAGGCCCCCGTCAGCACACGTACATCAGCTCTGCCCCGGGAGAGCGCAGAAGGAATGGAAAAGAGCCAGCTTGAACCAGACAACTGTAATCAACCCAGGGAAGCCACTTCATCGGGGCATGAAAACCCTGCCGTGCTCACGAGACTCACAGAGCCTTCCAGAAGAGCACTCATGTGGACCCGAGCGATGGGGCAGGCCCTGCTGGTGCTGCGCGGTCACCGACATGGCCTGGATATACGCCGCACACTTCAGGAGTTAGAAGCAGGACCACACAACCTGCCTTGGGTGTTGTTAGATGAGGCTTGCAAAGTCTTTAATAACAAGCTATGGTCAAGCAAAAAGGGCAGCTTGCAAGAGAAAAGGCAATAGAAAGGCCCCTGGCCAAAGGACCTCGCTACTGGACCTGCTTTCGGGGCCACCCCGATAAAGGAAGGTGAGTCCTCTGGGGGGATCCACGGTGCATGCTGCAAGAAGGTGGGGTACTGCGGGGAAGAACATCCTCCCTGGGGCAGGAAGGGGGCTGCGAGGGGCAGGACCTTGACCACCTCGCCTCATGGCCCAGTTGAGGACCCCAGGCTGGCCAATCAGGGGAAGAAACTCTGAAGGGACCCTAGCGAAGTAGGGTGCTGGGCTGAGCACCTCCATCACTGCACCCGAGCCTGGGTAAATTGACTGACTTCCTTATAGATACAGAAGCCACTTACTGGGTTTAAATTTGGTCTCCTGGCCCACTTTCCAAGACCAAATGTCTTCTTCTGGGGGTGGAAAACCTGAAAAGAAAAAATGCACACTCAGCCCCTGAGCTGTAAGGTCTGGGGAAATCTGCTAGGTGCCCTCTGTCCTCTGTCACTGCCTTACCCCACTGCTCACAGGGTCTTGCTCTCCCACCTGGAGTACAGCTTTTTGGTGCACCCTCCCCGCACCTTCCAGAATCCCACTTGTTGGAATAGCAGCGCCCCTAGTGGCAATGGACGAGGCAGCCCCAAGGTTTCCAGTGGGCACTTTTAGACAAGTAAACCCAGAGGTAACAGCCTCAGAGTTCCCAGGAAGGGAGAAAAATGTGACCTTCGTTGAGATCAAATTGAAAAACCCAGAGGGATTCCCCTCTCAGCCCCAATACCCACTGTCTAGTGAAGCCAAAAGAGAAAGCCGGTGTCTGACCAGCTGGCAAGTGTGGACTTGGAGCTGCGAGCAGCTGGCCATGCAGCACTCATTCTCCCGGTGAGAGCCCGCTGGGTGGTATGGGCTTGTGCAAGAGCCGAGGGAGACATCGGATGGTCCTGAACTCCTAAGGGCTGCTTTTTCACTCGTTTGAAGGACACTTTTCCCCTGCATTCCTGCATTCCACTGACCCAAAATAGCCAGTACTTGTTCGCTTTTGAATGGGAAGACCGTGAAATATGCCAGGGTACCAGCATAGTCCTTCCCCGGGATTCCAGGGCTAACGCCCACCTGTTTGTGAGTCCTAGGGCAAGTTCAGAGACAGTGCAGGCTGCAGGCGAGTTAAGGAAGGCTCCAGAGATAAGGGCAACAAATTCCAAAGGGGCCAAACACCCCAGGCCTAAGGGCAACAGAACATTCCAGAACAAAGATGATAATGAAGAGTATGCTAAGATAAGGGCTGGGTCACAGAGTTTTAACTCTGGGCACAGAGACATGAGGGCAGAGTGGGTGAGACCACCGAGAACTAACCAATCAGAGAGAGGCTGGTGGAGCTTTCGCATACTTGGGGAAAGCAGGTGCAAATTCCTAAGGCACTCCTCCCTGGCCTGGTTCACCAGCCTCGGAGTCCCACTTTATTTCTGTTCCTTTTCTCCTTAATAAACCTTTTCTTTCTCTAAGCAAATCTACCTCTCTTCGCTTGCTTGCCTGAGCGTCAGCGAAGTCCCTGTTGCGGCCTCATGAGACACCAACCTGTGGTGGTCTAGAGGCTGGGGCTCAGCGCTGCCACTGCAGCCTGTGGTCACTTCCTGGCTAGGCCTGAAAACCTGCCATTACAGTATCATTTGGAAATGCCTTGGGACAGGAGTTGAGACAGTTCATGTGACTTGGGGGGCAATAATCCAATATGTGGGTGATGTTCTCATTGCCACCCAGCCAAGGAGGCTTCTGAGCAGATACTGTTCAGGTGTTAGATTTTTTTTGGGGGGGGGGCTTTGGGTCTCCTTAAAGAAGGCACAAACACCCCAACTTAGGGTATATTATTTGGGATATGGGGTTTATTATTTGGGGTTAGGGAGTCGGAAAACTAATCAGTGGGTCGCAGCTGTCACACCAGTGTCTGCCCCCCCTCCTTGCGAATCCCCACCCGCTGTGCCTCTCCAGGGAAGGCTGGGTTTTGCTGGATTTGGATTCCTGACTATGTTCTTATTGCAAAGCCTCTGTGTAAGGCAACTACAGGAGCAAAAGGATGCTTTAACTGGACCCCTCCAAGTGCACAGCAGCCTTTGAGCAACTTAAGACCATGCTCACCAGGGCTCCGGTGCTGGGGGTGCTAACGCAATTTTGGGGGCCCCAGAAATTGGACCAGTGGTGTACCATTCTAAACAGCTAGATCCAGTTGCCCAAGGATGGCTACCTGCCTCGGGGCCCTGGCAGCCGCCACCCTATTTCAGGAAGCCAGAAAATGGACTGGGAGTTGCTATAACTATTGACACTTCCCTGTCAGGTCTCCACCTTCCTTCAGACCAAAGGGCACCACAGGCTGACGAGTAGCCAAGTAGGAGAATATGAGGCCCAACTTCTTGAGATTCCCGAAGTGACTGTCAGAATCTGTCCAACCCTAAACCTTGCATCTTTCCCTTAGGAGAGCCTCCCCTTCTCTATTCCTGTAACAAGATTATAGAACAAATCTATTTTAGCAGAATGGATTTGCAAGAAACTGCTCTTTTTTTATTTTTATTTTGCATAGATGAACTGGGGTACAGGCCAGAGGTGCAAGGGTCGGGGGTGTGAGAGAGAATTCACCAGGGACAGAGCAGGGAGCAGAACAGGCAGACCCACTGAACTACACTGCTGAGGGGAGCAGTGGGGAGACAGGGGAGGTCTGCTGTGCCCTGTGGGTCAGCTCCCTCACTAGGGATTGAACTCAGGCCTCAAGGTGGGCCTTCACTGGTGCTAATGCTGAGACTTAACCCCTAGGCCACCAGGGAGGCCCAAAAATGCTCTTGATAACCCAGATTCTGAGTAGTTCACTGATGGGAGTGGCCATGTAGAGCTGGAAATGGGGGTCTGTGTGTGCTGTGAACCTGTCAGCTTTTGTTGAGACCAGAGCTCTTCCCCCTGGCGCCTCAGCCCAAAAGGCAGAACTCATAGCTCTAATCAGAGTCCTAGAAAAAGTCAATGTCTACAGAGGTGGTAAATATGTCTTTTGCGTATGACATGCCCATGCAGCCATCTGGAAAGAAGGGGGAATACAGGGGGCCTCCCTGATGACCTAGGGACTAAGTCTCAGCGCTATCACCACCACGCCTGAGTTCAATCCCTGGCCAGGGAGCTGACCCACATCTGGCATGGCAGACCTCTCCTGTCTCACCCGCTGCTCCGCTCAGCAGTGTATTTCAGTCATTCATTTTGCGTGTTCTGTTCCCCACTCTGTCCCTGGTGAATCCTCTCACCATTCCCCAGTCCCTCTCCCAGCACCTCTGGCCCATATCCCAGTTCTTCTATGCATAAATAAATATATAGGGCCTCCCTGGTGGCGCAAGGGGTTAAGCACCCACACTATGAAGCAATCAACAGCCTCTGCAGCACGAGTTCAATCTCCGGCCAGCCAGGGAGCAACCCACATGGCACAGCAGACCTCTCCTGCCTCACCTGCTGCTCCCCTCAGCAGTGTGTTTCAGTCAGTCTGCTTGTTCTGTTCCCTGCTCTGTCTCTGGTGAATCCTCTCACACACACACCCCCCACATCTCTGGCCTGTACCCCAGCTCTTATATGCATAAATAAATCTTCCCCAAAAAATAAATATATAAATCTTTACAAAAAAAAAAAAAAAATGGGGAAAACAAATGCTTGAAATTTCCCAAACATGGCCCAGAATCCTCAGGCTACTGGAAGCTGTCCAGCTGCCTGCCCGGTAGCTGTCATTCACTGTTAAGGACATCAAAATAATCTAACCCATCAGGCCAGAGGTAACCGTTTTATTGCTACCACTGCAAAGAATGCAGCACCCACCCCTTCCCTGTAGCAAACACTGAACCCCTGGTCTACATTATACCAAAAAGGAAAAAGACTCATCTATCAGCCATGGTTATTTTCCCAGAGAGCAAGGGTGGCTAATAAAAGAGGGAGGCCAGATCTCCCTCCCAGGATCCCCACGGTTTCAAATAATAAAGGCACTCCAACTCATTGGGGAAGAGAGATTCTGGAAAATGTAGTCCAGCCTATGTTCCCAGGACAAGGCCTCATGCCGTGGTTCATGCCGTGTCTGCAGAAGTTGAAGAGCTGAACCAAATTTTAGAACACCACCAACTGGCAACTGACTATTCGCTGGCCAGAAAAGGGTGAATTTGTGAACTTGTCCGACAGGGTGAATGCGGGGAACTGTTGGTGCTTTAAATAAGGGAACAGGATAATGAACCCACAGAACCTACTCGGCACTGCCTTGGAGCTCCTCAAGAGGGCGCTGGTGATCGGCTTTGTCCTCTTGCTGTGAGGACCATCGCGCCCAGGCCCGGGACCAGCATTGGACAGTTACATGTAGTGATGTCGCTGGAGATTTCAGCCGGTCCTGGGCCAGGCTGGGGCAGAGTCCCCCCTTGTAGGCAGGGCCTGAGTCCCCCTTCAGCAAGAGCTGACAGAAGAGGACACCTTTGCCCGCTTGCTTCCAGCATGAGATGACCTCTCAGAGGGGAGCAAGACAGGAGGAGCCTGGAGAAAGGCCCTGCCCAAGTGACTTAACCTTTCCTCAGGTGTCGCCCTAAAGCTGCCTTGGCAGTTCATGGATGAGGTCTGCAGTGGGAAAGGAGGCGCTGTGGAGCCCTAACCCTCGCCGAGTGGGTGGATTGCTGAGTCCATGACCTAGGAAGCGTGCATCTTAACGCTAAACTCTCTGCCTCTGGGCAGGGTGTGACCTCCAAGTCCGCATGTGCTAGAGACCACCCCCAGCACGCAAGGAAGGGGCCCCGGATGTGCTGGGACCTGTCCCCTTTCCGGCAAAGAACCAAACCCCTATAGGAGACTTGCAGGCGCTCTGGTCCCGGAGCCACTTCTCTGCGAAGGGCGGGGCTCTCTCTGGTGCTTTCATTTTTTTTTTTTTTAATTTATTTACACATACAAGAACTGGGGTACAGGTCTGGTGCTTTCATTTTTAACAAATCCCACTCGGTGTGTGGAGTCCTCGCTACTCCCGAGGACAGATCTCAAGGACCCACTGGACAGATCCACACCAAGAGGGCGGGACACCGGGGGCAGAGATGTCAGCCGGGGTGGCCCAGCATTTGGGCCTGATCCAAATGCAGCAGCGTCACCTCCCAGCCCTGTGACTCAAGGGACTCCCTCCTGATTCCCAGGGGGATGGTCACCAGAACAGAGCTTGCCATAGAGTAGGAGCTGGGCAAGTGTGGTTATTGTCTTCTCGGGTCTGTGCACACAGGAGGGGGTGGGAACAACCCGCCTTCTGAGACCATAGGAAGCAGAGACTTGGGGTCACCCTCCTTGGAGAAGGTGGAAACCGAGCACTTATGGCTCTACCAGTGGGGAAACTGAGGCCCAGGATTTCCACACCCAGGGGACCAGTGATTCTATCGAGGCTACCACCTGTT